TGGTTTTGAAATCCCTTTTTGGAGACCTCTGAGGAGGATCAGAAAGACTGAGAGGTCTGTGGCTGACTGATTTGGCCGGTTTAAAAACACTTTTCTGTTGAAGCATCCCTCTAACTTAATTACAGATCACCTCAGTGTACAGAATCAGGAATGATTGTGCCAAGAGTGGTTAAATGGGTAGCACAGAATGCTGTCCTGTGTGTGGCGTTTGGGTTGTGGTGTTTTGTTTTAGTGGGTTTTTTAAAATGTAATGGTAGCATTAAGTTATTTTCATGGGTTTTGAGCTGTTGCTGGTTAGTAGCAGGTGTTTCAGAAAGCACGTGGAAGTGCAGTACGTGGCGGAGAGCACTGAGTGCGTGGTGACCACAGCAGAATGGAATTAAACCATGTCTGTTGCTGGGTGAAACGAACTCATGAAGAACATAGTTGGTTCAATGTGATACTGCAGTAGTACCACCTCCCTCACCCCTGTCTCAGGCACGTAAGTCAGTATAAAAAAATGTGCAATTACTGTATGGCATGTTTCTTGCTGAACTTTGGTAGTCAAAAGGAAATCATGAAAGAAGCAGCATCGCACTTTCTGAGATTCCACACTGCACGTGTGATCCCTGACCTTGAAGGTCCACCTTGTGCATACAGCGTGTGCAGTTTCCTTCAGAAGGCTGGCTTCCTAACAAAGATCTTCGCTAAATGTGCTGAGCAAAGAACTGACTTGGATTCACGTCAAGCATAGAACAAAGATAGGACAGTGCAGAGAAGTGCTACGTGGAGATCTGCAAATGCCTTCTGCCGTTGCCTCCAAACTCTGGAGAGTCTTGCTGTGACTTTCCAGCCTTGAATCCTGTATGTACCTTAATAGCAGTTGGTGTTGCAAGTCCTGAGCCTGGGTTATCCTCAAAGCTGATCTGATGTACTTCCTTGCAGCTCGGACTCTGTCTTGTGGCAGTTCTTTTGTTGCCGTGTTTCAGTCCCTAATGGCCTCACAATGCTCTGTTATTTTCATGGGCGAAGGCTGCCGGTTGTGCCAGCTTTCGCCTACATGCTCTGAGCCTGATGTGCAGTGTGGATGACAAACAGAGAGGCTTCAACTTGTGTCTGTATTGGAAACCGTGCAGGAACTGTTGTTGCCAGCCTTCGTTCCTCTCTTTCCTTCGTTCTAAAGCTGATAAATTAAAGCCCTGCACCACCCTGTGCTGTCTCCTGTTCCTTTCTCATCCTCACCTCTGAACTGCTTTCTCTCAGTGGTGCTGCTTTTGGCCTTGAACCTCCAACCTCCCCTGTTGCTTTAGAACTGAAAGGACAAAGCTTTATTGAACTGAACATCCTGTCTCTTCTCTCCGAACTCTTTGGAACAAGCCTCTCTCGGATTAGTGGGTGCTTGTTTTGCCCTGCTCTGCTACAGAGGCTTCTTGCCTTTTTGATATGCAGTCGCAGGCTTCCATCTCTGTTCTGACCAGCCCCTGTTTACTTTGCAGAATACAACGTTGTCATGGCAACAGGTTACTTCTCAAAGGGAACATCTTGTCATTATATTTAATCCACTGCAGCTGAAGAGGACTGAAATATTAAGTTGTTGTTGCTATGGATACTGCTTTGTTACATCAGTTTCTTTTGTGTCAGATTTCATATACGGTGTTGGGTCCTCTTTTTTTCTTTCCCATAGAATAAACACAGAGCCGTTCCATTATGATTGTAATTGCTCTCCGCCAATATAATTTAGCTTAAAAATCTACAGTGCGTTTTAGTTTCCATAGCAAGGATTTTCTTTCCATTTGCAAACCCGTTCCTGGGGATGTGGAAACAGTAAAAATTATTGAACAGATTCAGTGCCGTGGCAGAGCGATGGGCTTTGTGCCCTTTAAAAACCAGAAGTGTGATGTAGTGCAGTGTGAAAGCGCTTCCTGCACAGCAGCCGAACTCAGTCCAGCCCTTACCTTTTGGGGCAGGGGGAGGGAGCACCTTTAGGGTGTGAATGCGATCAGGAAATGGTGAGTGAGTGGTGAAAGGCACGCGGACGTATTTCTCTCCGTGCTTTGTTTTCACCTGAGGAATCATGGATGGATAGCCCCGTTGAGCTTCCCCAGCGGCCGCCACACGGATAGCTAGGAGCTGAAGTCCCATCCAGAGCTTTGCTTTTATCTTTGCAATTACTTCTAGGATGCTCCAGCATCCTGTAGTGTCAGTCTTGATTCTTAAACGCTTTACTTACCCTGTTCAGTGAATTTGCAACTGAAAAAATTGGGAGTTGGGGGATATTGGAGTGGTGTGTTTTTCCTGTTGAAATAGAAAATAGCTTGATTTTCTGATTAAGTACAAAGCCTGCTTGTGCAGCCTTTGGCTGAGGTGAAGTAGCTGGCAGAAACTGCATAGGCATGTTTTAAGTTTGACTTGCACTGACTAGTAGAGGTGTGTGTGGCTTTCAAATGAATTCTGGGAATAAAGGAAGAGCATCAGCATTTTGTGTTGTCAGTTTCCCTTCATTCCGTACAGGGAAAAATTCTGACACCTTGTAGCTGAAAAAATGTACCTGAGTATTTAATTTATAATTTTGTTGTAAATATAAAATGGATTTTCTAGTTCAGTCATTTCTTTGCATAACCCGAAACAGGAGAACAGTGTCAGATCGTGTCTTGCAAAAACAGGCATCGGAAAAAAACATTTTGACATGTTCCTTGTTATTTTCAGGAGACTTTTGGCACACATTTTAGAGTGGATCTGCTTGCCAGGAAGGTAGCATTGCATAGACATTGATTATTTCAAAACCTGTGTTTGTTCCTGTCTGACAGGTTCTCCTGTCATGTTCTCTTGGATAAGGCCCATTCAGATCCACTGCTGTAGTTCACCCACCTGTGCACCAGTGAATAACATTTCAGAATGGTCAGTAAGGTGAAGTTTAACTTAATACACGTGTGCAACATACTTTGAAATTTCGAGGTGACTGTTCATAAAAATATGCAAATGAACATGTAAAAAAAAACCCTAACCCCTCCAGTAACCAGTTTGACTTCAAATGGTGTTTAATGGTTTGGGCTATCCATTGGTAGTTTCGCTTAGGGCTAGCAGTTTATGGTGTGATCTTAACTTTTTACAGTTTAAAGGAAACCTTTCGTCAGTCATTGCTTCTGATCGTTGTGAACACAGCAGGGTGAATAAGAAATCCTCCAGGGTGGCGTCTTACTTGTAAAATGATGTCATAGTATTTCTGTAACAGCAAATTGCAAGATTAATCCAAGCTTGCTGTTTCCAGACTAAAGATGCTGCGCTCTTCCTTGCTAGTGTGTTGAGACTCACCCAGATCTCTTGCAGTCATTGAAGTGTTAAATTCAAAAATTTGTCTTATAACAGCTCTGAGTTTTGTTGTCCTTTTAATGTAATACGCAGAATATAAATAAAAGATGTCTGTTTAAGTAAGAACAATTCATAGGAAAAGAACGTGGAGCTTAAGGGTATTGAATTGCCTTGGAGTGGGCTGTGTTCTTTAATGCTGTTTTACAGGAGTCTTGGAGGGCCGTTGAATTTTCAGACTGTAGCTGCATTCAGTATCCCAAATACCAACGTTGAGGCGCAAGTGCCTTAATGGACTGCAGTGATCTGGCTCTTGACAAGAGCTGGGTATGTGAGATTGCAGCAGAGAGGTCCCATGAGTTCAGCTTTAGTTCTTGCGAAATCAGTACTTCCAGTAAATAGTTTTGTTCCTGTGCCTTCTTGTTGCTTATACTGCAACATATTTAGTAAAGAATAAGTGACAGAGGTGCTCTTCAATGATAAAGTTTTATTTACTGTTAGTCTATTGAAAATTTAGGGAGAAAAAATAAGTTCTGTCCTGTCAGCTGTGTTATTCTGGTTTATATTGGCATGCCTTTAACTTCTGTTGTTGCCAGGGTAATTCTATGCAACATGAAAAAACAGTTTTTCTTCTAACTTATAATGTGATGTTTGAGTAACTCCAGCCAATGGTGTGAGCAGCACAGAGCCCTTCAGAGGATAATTCTCGCTACACGGAAGACAGTTCATTTGGAACTTGAAGTTTTTTATATAAGTATCTTCAAAATAGTGGAAAAATACGAAGGCCAAGTGTATTATGTAGAAGGGAAGTCCTTTTTGGATGAACTGAATTAAATTCACTTCTACAAATGCTACAAGGCATGTTTTTACTGCTTTTTAGATTTTCCATGCTTCTGAGTCCTGTGACTTTAGCAAGTGAATTAATAACAGCAGCAATAATAATTTTGACTTCTTAAAACAAGAGCCAGATAACTTTGCATGTGTGATCGAAAGTAACTTGAATGGTTTTCCATGAACTCTGTCTGGAAAAAGAGGAATTAGTGTTGCCAATTCTGGTAACGCAAGGCTCTGTTCTTGAAAGATTCGTACCCCAAATATTTTTATTTAAGATCCTTTCTCTTTCAACGTGAAAATGACCACGAAGATGTTAATGAGGAACGTGGCATATCCTGTGTATTAATCTGTAGCATAGTGCTTAGCATGGGGTCTGCATTGGTTTGGGTTTGGTGTTGAAATACACAGTTGAAGGAACATTGCACCAGTGGAAGTCAGGTGCTTCTTGGAAGGTGGTTCTCTGCATGGGAGGCTTTTGAGGTGGCTCTCAGCTGTAGAGAACCGTAGAGGCTTTTAAAGGGTCTTGATCAGACGTCAGTGCTACTTCTGGATTGCGTGAAACCCGAGTGTCAAAAAGTCGGAGGATGTTTGTCCCATTATCAGCTGCTCAGCGCTTTCTTGCTGCTGTGAGGACAGATCCCACTGATCCTCTTCTTGACTTCAGCAGCTTGACTGAGAGTTCCAGACTTGCCCTGTTGGTTTTTGCCATTTGCAGCGTAGCCTGTAATACACCTGAGTATGCACTTTTGTACGTAGTGATGTATTATTTTTGCTTCTCTTCCATTTGCATTGGAAATGCAATGACAAAAAATACAGAATATGATCCTGAATGTCTTTAATTGTAGTTCTCTCATTACTGTTTTTTTTTCTTTATATATTAGGAGGCTAAACAGTACCCAGGGTGAAATCAGAGTTGGACCCAGCCATCAGGTAAGGGATTTTGTTTGTATTCTAATATCCAGAGGGCATGCTTTCGCCACTTGAGCATTCAGAGGACAGTTCTTTAAAATTGTGTGCATTCAAATCCAATGAGTTCTTTAGAATTCTTTGGCTCAGTTAATGAGATTTTTCTATGTCAAATGTTGATATGTTAATGATTTGTACTAGCAGAAGTGCTAGTGGGTTAATTCTAGAATAAGACTGAAGGAATATGAATAACTACAGGAAAAGAAGGAAAAATCTCAGCTATTATTGGGTGCCTTCTGGAGTCGAAAATGAATGTGTTCTCAGTTGGCTTTCACCAAGCAATGTTTTCAACAAACTATAAAAATTTAATTTCATGTTTTCTAGTTGTATTGAAAGTAGATCTTTTGATTTTAATTTACATAGTACTAATTGTCAAGTTGATAGTATGTTGCCTTGTAACAGTTAGTCCTTTCCATGAATCTATGTTTTTAAACAAAATGGAGATCTATTAGAAGTGGAGATCTATTAAAAAAAGAAGACGGCAGTCTTCCAATAACAACATTACAAAATTAGAAGGATGAGAAGACTTTAAACCTGAGAAAGAAAGGTTTCTTTCCTGTACAGCAACTGTGTTGAGATATACATGGATATTTATGTACATATTCATCTTTTAACACACGATGCAGTGCTTTTAAGCATGTCTAACATAGCTGTCATTAATGCAGAACTCACTGTAAACCTGCTTTCCCTCTTGTGTTCGTCTCTGAGTGTGCTCTGTCTGGTGTCGTGTCTGTGGCTTTGCATTTCCTCATTGACTTGTGTTTACCCTGAAGTCTCCACATCTTCTCTTCTTGTTTTTGTGTGTTAGATGAGTTTGGCCAACTGTGGCACTTCGCTTAAAAGTCAGGGTGACCGCTGTGTACTCAGTAATTCAACAGTCGTCTTAAAAATTAATTTGGTATTTCTAATTGGAGCAGTTTTGGCAGCTGTTTGGGATATACTTCTTGCTAAATACGCTTTTCCGGTGTTGCCCTGTGCCAACATCACCAACGTGCTCTTCCCCTGCCGTTCAAGAGGTTAGCTGGTCCTCCCCCTTTTTATCTGCATAATTTTCATACAAAGCAATTTAAATTCTTTTTCACTAGGAGGCACAGTAATTCTGGATGATTATGGAAATATCCCTTTTGTCCGTGGTCTACAGAAGTCATGTTACAATTGTAATATCTTATTTGTATTTCCCAGGAAGCTTTTTATGCAGGCTTCCTTTTCACTTTCTGATGCTGTAGAGAGGATAAGTTTTGATTTTAAAGATAGGGAGACCTCAGTTGTATTAGAAGCAATAAGAACTGTAAGTTCTTAAGAGCGGTGCCTTAAGTCGTTTGGTTTATTAAAATAGCAATTGAGGAAGCATGCTGAAGGTGTTCCGGCACTGGGAGGCAGAATAAGGTTAAGACTCTAGATGTGAGTTCTAATTTGAGGTAAATCCGTCATGAGCATTGAGCATAATCTGTTCTTCAAGAGCATTAACATACAACTTACTGTGGTTTATAAGGCCAGACTGTCACTAGGAATCGAGTTCTCTCCTTCACCTGTAGAATTGACTTCGTACTGTCCCAAGTGCTGGATTTTTGCATCCAAGTGATGAATATTCATTCAGACTCTTTTTAAACTCTTCTTTAATAACTAGTGAGAGTAAACATTTCTGGAACCTATCTAATATTCTTAAGGATGTTGTGCATTTAGAGGAAAAAAGTCCTTGGTGATTAAACCTGCAGTATTCTTTTCACTAGTCATAATAAGAGTACTGTAAATGATACCTTCGAGACAACTTTCATCTCAAATTGTCATTAATATTTTGCCATGTATTAGTCACCTGTGCCATAAGGTATAATTACCAGATGCATTTATGGATGGGAAAATAGGAAGAAGGTCTGCTGATTTTAGAACACTGTTCATTTTTGCTTGCTTAATATTTTAAACTTCCATTGTTCTTTCACTCATTTGCTGAGCATCTGTGTTTCTGACGAAAGTCATCACTAAGAGGATATATTCTCATCCTGTTAATTAGTATAAGGCATAATCTTAAGATACATGAATGGGTGATTGTAGGCCACAGTAGGAAGTCAGATTGAAGATGATACTTAACTGCTTTCTGTTCTGCAGTGTGATTCAAGCTGTGGAAAGTGTAAAAATAGTCTCCTTTACACACTAGGCTTTGTTAACTCAGGGGACGGGTACGCTTTCCTCCACCCACCTTACTAAGAAACAACCCTGAGATCTCGATAGAGGTTTCTGATGAGTATCTGTTGCCTTCATTTTCCTTAAATTCTGCGTGTTACAGACGCTAGGGGACTGTTGAGTTTGTTTTCATACTTTGTGCACAGATACCTCAAACTACTGCTTGTATCACAATAGAAAGTAGGGGCACAAGTGAAGATAAACGTTTTGTAGAATAGCAGACCTCAAAATGTATGTGCATAGGAGCAGGAGAGTAAGTCTCTACTAAATGTCCTTCTGTGAAAACTTTTGACTAACAAATTAATGACCAGAGGTGTTCAAGAGGCAGTTGCTCTTAGGAGTAACTCTAGTCATTAAGCATGTTCCTAGGGTACATACAGATGAGCATTAATTTGTGAAAGCACTCTGGTTGCTAAAATGCGTAGGTCTCATAGATACCTCATCTTGGTATAATGCTTGCTTATCCTTTTCCAGAGGAGAAATTCAATGACATGCCCATTTTCCCAGGCAAGACGTAAAATAAAGTACAGATTAAAGAGCAGAACATGAAAGACATCTGAACTGGTGACTTGTAATTACTGGTTATGTATAAATGTTGCCTCTCAAATATGTTTAGTGTTGTAAGTATAGGAGGTAATTACAGGGCTTAAAAGCTGTTTCTGAAGAGGCTCTTAGCTATCTCATCCCGTAGCAGTAGATGACTAAAGATGCTAATTGGGTCTCTGGATGCAGTGTAATACTTAGTTAGTGGCAGAGTTCATTTCATTGAGCTAGCTCACTTTCAGGAAATGTCTTTGTTTCTCTTCAGAGTTTTAATGATTACTGAGGACTTAATTTTGAACTTAGTGTCAAATGTGTAGGTTTTAAAATTGATTTAAAATGGTACACATGCAGTAGCCTTCTTTCTTACTGGTGTGTTATATGACTGTGTTTTAGCCTAGCACGCAGGAGTCGTAGCAGCATCTTTGTGAGAAATGAAAACTGTCTCTCTGAAGGTAAATTGTCCAACAGTGTTTGACTTCTATGCAATGGAGGACTACGTGTGCAGTACAAAACGGTTTACTTTCAAGCTGTAATGGTTCTGTAGACACGCTTGCACTTGGTCTGTGTGCAGAAGGGCTTCACTGGTGGTGGACTGAGAGGTGGCGTTAACCCTGCACAATTATCACAAAATGAACTGCTCTTCTAAAAGGAGGAACGCGGGATCAAGTGAAGAGCTCGATGACCTAGTTTCCTCAAACTTCTGAAACTTGGCTCAAACAGCTTCACCACCTGTTGTCTGAATATCTTCCATCTATGAGATCATAGTATTCCAGAGAATTTACAAACTTCAGTATAAATAGCACTTGTGCATCCTCCTAACATTGTTAACAACTGTAATGTCTGTATGAACTCTTCATTTTTTCCAGGCTAAGCTTCCTGATCTGCAGCCGTTTCCTTCCCCAGATGGTGACACAGTGACACAGCATGAAGAACTTGTGTGGATGCCAGGAGTCAATGACTGTGACTTACTTATGTACCTCAGGGCAGCGAGGTAATTTCAGCCAAGACACTACCGATGTCTTTAGAATGTTGTAGCGGACACGTAGCCTGCCACGCGGGCTGCGGTCACTCCTTTCTGTTCTGTTTCGGTGTAGCGTGGATGTCAGCTGCATAAGCTGAAACATTTAGTTTGAGAGAAGAATGTTCTGATTTGATGTTGGGCCGACTCTTTCCTTTGGCTTTGGCTTTTGGATTAAAAATGCAAAGCCAGCAGAATGTGCTAGCATGATAGGAAGCGTTGGGTGTATGTCGTATAACAGGGGAAGTAACTGCTTTAAGTGGAATAGGTGTGATAGCACAGGATTCCTTCAGAGACTCAATGTTTTTTGAGCTCTAGTTTGCATTTCAGTTTCATGCAGTTCTCTGGTATGCCTGGTAGCTTAATCAGATGCTCTGGTGGGCCTCGTAATGATTCAGGCTATGAGTAAATTACTTGCAGTTTGCAAGAGTTTAGATATGGGGGGAATCTGCAACTTAAGTAGCTTTTCTAACACATAAGATGACAACAGGTTTGCTGTCTCTGGTGAGATTCTGTCCTCGTGTATGGAGGTTATATCTTCCATAATCCTGGTCAGGCTTTGGTACGACTGCAGTGCAGATTTTTGATGAAATCCACTTAAATTGGATTTTGAATTAATTATTCCATATGCTGAGGTGACTCAGGCTTGCATAACAAACAGCAGTGTTTGTGGTGCCTTATTTTACTTGTTTCCACAGTATCGCAAGGCCCTGAAATTTGTGATTTGAGGTGTATTATACTATTTGTGTATTGCATGATGTGCGCGTCAAACTACCTGAAGAATTTAAACTTTTTTCTCCTCAAACTATAAAGGAGCATGGCAGCTTTTGCAGGCATGTGTGATGGAGGATCCACAGAAGATGGTTGTGTTGCAGCCTCTCGTGACGACACTACGCTTAATGCACTCAATACAGTAAGTACACGGAACTACTGTGTGGAAGAACAGCCTTTCCATTTAGTTCTGGACTGCTTCAAGCATATAATGCATAAGATATTTAGCAGGTGAAACAGATTTTGGCATCACAATATGAGTAGGACAGTAGTTTAGGATGTCATAACTTCCTTTTAAATGCCAACTAGTTTTCGAAAAATCTAACCTAGAGAACTTCAGTGATAAACTTTTGGGTGATGCCTTAAAGATGACAGCTGGTGAATATTCTGTGTGGGAAGCTGCTCAGGTCAGGTACACCAGCTGGAATTGCTACTTAGCTGATGCCTGACCTGGCTGGTGGTCCGTTCATTCAGTCCAGCTAGCTTCTAGCTGTAGGAAGCCAATAGTTATTTCCTAGAAGAAAGCTTCATAATGCTGTCAGTTGTATGGTGTCATGTATGTGGTAATGACTGTCTGGAATTTGTCCTGCTCCTGATCCAGTCTTCATTATCATTTATATTGGGTGCATGCGTGTCCAGTTATCTCTTGTGTAAATGTAATGTGCATAAATAAAGCATTACTGAAGAGTTACGTAGCTGTGAGTGTACGTTGAGATGCTCGCACAGTTTCAGTGCAGCCCCAACAATTAACTGTGTTGAGGAGGGTGGGGGGCAAATCATGACACGTGAATCGTATATTTAAGCTCAAGCTGAAGAAACTTGTCTGTCATTCCTTGTTTTTTTGGTGACATAGTGAAATCTGTAGTTGTTTGTTTCTCCAGAGCCCTGTCTGCAGCTTTTGGATAACTGTGGTGGTAGTGACTCTAAGCTGACCTTTGTTGTGACTTAGGTGCTTCCTTCCTGAAATAGAATAAAAGGAATTGTTTGTAACTGGTCATATGTTACTCTGAAGGAACACACAGACAGATCTGCTGACTCTACCAATAAACAGTTTTCATTCTTCCTTTTCTTATGTCACCTCTCATCCATAAACTGTATCATGGAGGTAGGAACAGTTTAGTTCTGTCCTTCATGGTTATTGGCTACATTCTAATCACATGTGCTTGTGAAGGCTGTGGAAAGGCTAGGATGTACCCTTTGCTGAATGAGTTTCTAGATAAATCAGCAGTATGTTTTAGGGGCAGTCACAATAGAAATGGACAGCTGGTAGGACTGGAAGCTGGGAGCAAGGTCAGTTGAGCATGTTTTTTGTGAAACTGCTGAGGGAGGATGCAGTGGGTAGCTTCAGATTTCATTTTTAAAGGTCTTCTGTCCTAAAAGTAGTTTTAAGCATATTCTGTCTGTGTCCAGCACCGTAACTATCTACAGTGACCCGTGCATTCTTTGTTCACAGCGCCTGTGGCTCAAGGAATTTGTTTTTACTCAGTAAAATAAAACAATTAGTGATACTAACAAGAAACAACTTACAATGTTGTACTCCTGCAAGCTGGCTGTTAAATATCACTTAAGGACCACAGTGTTATGTCTGCCTCTGCTTGTTACAATTATTTACAGTTGCATAGCTTTTAACCGTTTATTTATACAATTTTTTGAACCTTGTAGATGGTTGTGATACGCATCAGAAACTGAGCAGTTATCCCTGCCACAGAGGACAGATTATCTGTTTAGAGGAAGTATCCTGAGCGTGTTATTTGGTTGTTTTATTAAAGTGAGTGGAACTGACTTTATCAAATTAATCACATTAAATACGCTTAACTGATTCTTCATTGTCATAAAGCATCTCATTACATGAAGCTTTTAAATACTTCAGGATGTTAAAAAGAAGCTCAATCTGGTTTGTGACTGCTCCGTGATTAGGTATATATGACTTTATATCTAAACAAGTTAAAATTCCTGTATTCTTAACACGAAAAAGGTTCGTTCTGTAACATTAGCTTACCAAAACCACTCGCGTTGGTGTTTTGGTTTATTTCCGCTTCTGTTCGATCACGTGTGTTTCACAGGGTGTGTCAGTTTTTGTCTTGTTTCCTGTAACAGGCAGGAGTAAAACGGGATTAAGATCTAAAATGTGCCCCTGTCACACGTACTAAATAAACAGCAACAAAACTTTCATTCTTGATCTGAAAAATTGTTTAAATGTGGTTTATACACTCGCATGTGTAACCAGCTGAAATCCAAGATCAGATTCTGCACCCAAATTAAATACTTCCTTGTTGTTCTCAGTTTTACGGCTGACAAGCCGAGTGTTACTTCTCAGTGCTTCACAGTGCACTTCAGAACTGAGGAGAACCTATGAATCTCAGCCCTTTGGTTCCTTTCCCAAGATAGCCAGTGTGTTAAAGATATTTTTTTTATACTGTTTGATAAGAACTGCAGTTAAGTCTGTATCGCACATCCACTTCAGTTTCTTACCTGTTTTACATTTTAATTTCTTCTTTCCTCTTGAGATGGATGCCATCTGATTCTGGGGGCTTACCACTCTGTAGAGTTTTCGAAGTTGTTCCCTAACATCCTTGTTAGAGACTCAAATCTCTGTTAAGGCCAATAATCACCAGAGAGCTTTTGGAATTGGAATTTCTTTCCCCTTGTCATGTATAATAAAAGACTAACGCAGAAAATTCATTTAACTTCACTGCTTCACTATCTACTTTAATTACCCCCTTTAATCACTTGGGTGTCTAAGGAGCCTGTGGTTGCACTTGCAGACTTCTTGCTTCTGAGACTTAGATTAGTCCCAAAGTATTTTGATTTTTGTTCTTCTGATTCTATTCTCTTTGTATTTCTAGTGCACATCTAGCTTAGAAAATCGCTGCTGGTTCATTTTCTGAATGGGGGAGGGTTTCACACTTCTGAAATAAAAGCACTATACAAACTCTTCAATTTATCCTCTTAGAAATCTTGTTTGTGTGTAATATTTTTGACTGCTGTTGTCGTGACTTCCCTTTCCCCTCAATATGACATTGTAATGTGTTGCAGTAAGACTTACCCTGTGGTGTTCTTGTAATCACCTCATTAACTTGAGCTTTGCTGAAGTTTCTCTTCTGTAGGTATTGTGGTGCCAGTCCTCTGCTCTCGCTAGGCTGGTTTTCAACCCTGTATTGACACAGTGTAATTCCCGTTAAATAATCTGCCTGAACATGGACTGTTGAACTTCCAAGAAAATACAATCTGCAAGGTTTGACCCTAATGACTCTTGAAAGGTCCTTAGGCTTTGGCGATGTTTGATTTAGACATGCTTCAGAAATCTACTCTGTGTACTAATACTGTTCATCGCAGATTTAGAAACCAGTGAAGATACTTTCCTTGTTCACTTTGAATTCTTCTAGAAAAGTGTTTTCTTATGAATAATAGTTCTGTCAGATGGGGTATTTTAAGAAATTTTGACTTATTTCTGAGAGCCTACTTTTTTGACTATCTTAAAACAGTTGAGGTAGGTGATTTGACAAAATGATGCCCTTTTAATCTTTCTGTTCACCATCTATTTAAAACATATCAGATTTATCTGATAAATAATTTGTGAGAATCTTACCCTGGGTTTTTGTTTAGAAATTATCATGTGCAACCCAGAAGATAAATGTAAAAAAAAGTGATATGGTATGATTTCTTATTATGGAAATCCAATAAACTTCAGAGCAGCACTTCATATAAATTAGTCTTGACAAACTCCTTTGCCAGTGTTTTATTTGTGTAGTAACAGATGCTGCAGCCCCCAGAATGATTTATTGTTAATTATACCAGATAGAAATAAAGATCATGGAAGGCACAATGCAACATATATATATCTCAGCTCATTGAGATGATTATTCGCTTAATGTTCCAGGTCCATTTCAACCCCTGTTCCTTCGTTTGGCTGTTGGGATTTGGTGCCACATTTGTCATTGTAACCCTTAGGAAGGAAATGAAGTTTTCATTTGGAGTTCAGTGCCCTCCTGGTCAGTGCTGGCAGTCACGCTGAGAGATATGGAGGAGGACGTATTAGTTCCTGAAAGTCTTTCACCTTGATATTTTTAGTTAGGGAGGGTCTTTTTTTGTTGCATGACTGTAGAACAGGTAGCTGAATTTGGCAGACTTTCTAAAACTAGCTGTTTTCTGTGCTTCATTTAAATATTCATGAGCAAAGGTCATTTGATGCATTAGACCTTAAAATATTAGTCACTTAAAATGAAAACATGCATATTCAGTACATTTTTTCCAGTTTCATAATTGAACCATAATCTGTGAAGCCATTTTTATTGGTGAAATGGTAGATAATTGAAACATTTTAAGTTTTTTTTTACAGCTACCCCGTTCCTCCTACCTTGTGATCTAGAGAACCATGTTGCTTCGAGGCAGGACTCTTCCTTAAAGTGAAAAGGGAAATGGAAAGGCTAATTTGAGTTACTCCCAAACCTTGTTTGGGGTCACTGCGGACAACATTATTGCATTCTGAGAGCCAGCATGCTGGATGTGAAGGTTGTGTAATTAATAGTCCGTAGTAATGCACTTTGCCTCTTCAGCACTTTTGGGCTTTGAGTGTGGATAGGTATCAGGTTTTAATAACCAGAATACCATCAACCAGCCCCTCAAAACACACTATTTACAAGATACCTGTGGAGATCCTTAGTGAGAAAATCGTGCAGGAGAGCCAGGACTTAATCAGCCAGCTGTGGGTTGTTTTTTGTTTTGTTTTTTCTTCACTTTTGTGGGGTTTTCTTTGGTCCCAAGCTAGCTGGAATTTGGAAATCAATTGAAAAACCTTAGAATTCATTCCCTTTCCAAGTCAGGCTAGTTTAATTAACTACCTTATTTTGCTTAGCATTCTTTACTTGCAAGTGCAAGGATTTGACACACCGATTTGTTCTCATCTGTAGAAGGAAGAAAACTCTTGTGCAAGTATTTGTAAAAAATGGCCCGTTGTGATGCCAATATGTTTTACTTGTGTATAAATTTCTTCTGTAACGCATGCAATTAATGGGTAACCCAGGCCCTCTGTAATACTTAGGTGGAGCGTGGGGAGGAGTCCTAGTTTTCAAATGAAAATACAGACAACCCTGCACTCAAGTTCTGCGGCAGGATCAAATTCAAGCCTGTTCAGACAGGCAG